AAAAAAAAAAAAAAAAGAAAAAAAGAAAAAAAAAACCTCATGTGGTTGTTTAGTTTCATGCACAGTTGCAATATTTTTCTTCAAACAAACTCTGTACAAACTTTGGGCCCGATTCATAAAAGCTCCTTTGCTATTAACACGGGAGGCTGGTGGGCTTTTCTCGTCCAAATTGAGGATGGCTTTCTTTCCAAGCGCACGCTTTGGCGAGCCCCGCTTTCCTCGGCACACGCGCCCGCTGGCTTTCCTCTCCCTCCCCTTCCCCTCTCCGCCTCCCCTCACCCCAACGGAGAAGAGGAACCGATGGGAAGGGGCCGCGGAGGAGGCGAGGCAGCGCAGGACCGTGCTCCCACACCCCAGAGGCGCAGGCTGGCAGGAGAAAAGGGGGAGACAGGGGAGAGGACGACTCCGTGCCGCGCTCTGGCCGATGCCAGGGGTTTGTAACACGGTGGTACGAGGCTACTCGATTACAAAAGAGATCTTGTCCGTACCAGAAAAAAAGACGCTAGATCGCTACCTCCGAGCTCTAGAGAAAACCTTCGTAAAGGCAAACACTTGTACACAATGTGAACTTTTGTACTTTGTATGCTTTTTTTTTTTTTTTTTAGGGAAGACTATTTTCCACTTAGTTAATCTTCTATGCTCGAGCATGAACAAAAACAATTGTGTTGGGTGAAATGCCCCCCTTTTATCTGCATCCACAAATTAATATGAGGGGGAGAAAAAAAAAAACAAAACAAAAAAGAAGATGAGATTCTAGACGGAGCATGGTAGGAAGACAGTGCCCGGCTTGGCATCCGCCGCCGCCGCTTGTTCTTGCTGCCGGCGCCCTGCGCCCGGCTGCGACTGCTGCCTTGGGGAAAGGTCTGCGAAATTCTTTGCTTTGGAAATACAATCAAGGAGAAATCTCCTTTTTGGCAGGCTGTGCGGTTACTCCGTGCGGCCGAGCTCTGACCTAGCCCTGCCCCGCTGCCTGAGACTGGCCCAGCCAAGTCCCTCAGCGTCAATTTGAAATTCGGGGCGCTAAAATTTCCACCGGCCGTGTGAAAGATCTGCTGCAAATTCACTTGACACCCGTGTTAATACCATGTCGTGTTCATTTTTTTTTTATGAGTCAGGCCCCTCGTGCCTCTAGTATACTTGTATTGACTCTCATAGTTACCATTTTAGTTTTACTGTGTTCTGTGAAAAAAATTGTAATTGGTTGAGAATCACTGTGGGCATCCATTCTTATTCAACTAAGTCTCCGCAGGTTTTTTGAGCTGGTGTGGATTAGTTTAACTCTTGTATTCAACCATTAGTGCTACCACCTTCTCACATTACAATACAATTACTGGAAGCAAGTACTGCATTTCCTATGCAACAAAAAAGGAAAATAAAAAATTGCTAATGCTAACAGGCTGTGTTGTGATTTACTTTCATCTGGGCGCGGGGCGGGGGCGGCTGTAGGGTCATGGGCATCGCTGACGGTCACGGCGTTGACGTCTCTGGGTGTACGGCCCTTGGGATGACACCATCCCTCCCAGGCAGTCGCTTCATCCCAAATCCTGCCGACACTTGGTTAAATCGAGTCCCTGTCGTTGCATCGGCTTGTTCCCGAGCAGTCGGTGTTGTCCCATCAACACAAAATCGTCCCTCGCACGGTAACGGATTAATCTTCCGCGAACCTCTGCAGATTGAATCAGCCAAAGTAAAGACACGAAGCACATCTAGTAAAGACCGAGGAGGTTCAGTAATTCTGAAAATGCTACAATATATCCCTAAAATATAGATAAACCTTAAAAATACCACCACAATTCCAAAGAGCCCCGGTACCAGGCGCCGGCCGCGTTTCGCAGCTGCCCCGCTCAGCCCTGGCTGTCCTGCACCTCTCTGCGAGGCTTCCGGAGGTGCAGGGCAGGAAAAAATAAGTTTCTTTACAACCTTTAAAGTTGTCTTCAAAGTTTTTCCACTCTGCCACACCTTTTTCTTAAAAGACCTGTGCAGAAATTAGTATTTGCA